AAAGGCGATTTTTGGAGAAAGGTCAATTTTACTTATTACATTGACTTTTAGAAGATTGTGTTTCGCAATTGAGGCAGTCACCTCTGAATTAGCGTTACCAAATTTTTAGCACTGGGTGCATATAAGTTTGTGCGTATATTCTATGGCACTTGGAGGTATATAGATCATTCCCTTGTCGACATAGGAGGATTACGTTGTTATTTGATACAACCTACGCATTGTATGATTATTGTGGTTCTTAAAATATAGGAACTCTGTATACCACTTGGTATATTGGAGTTAAGTGGAGCCCTTATAGTAAGGTTGCGTCTATTTGGGAATATGAAGATATTTTTCGCTCACAGTTCCCAAGCATAATGGAAGAAAGTAAGGGCGAATTCCGAGGACGGAATTCCTTTTATTAGGGAGGAAGAATGTAATACCCCTAATTTTAAAAGGATAGTCTCGGTATTTATTTATTTGTTTTAATTATATTTTTTTAATTATTTAATTAATTATTTGACTAATTACTTATGTGTTTAATTAAATTAGGTATTACTTGATTATTTAATTATGTAAATTAAATATTTTCTTTTCTTTTATTATTTTATTTTATTTTTCTTTTATAGTTATGGTTAGTAGTAATGGGCCAACCAATCGGGTCCCATGGACTACTTGGATAGGAGGTTGGATGTGTATGGATTATTACCCATGGATAATGTATGTATATATATAGATATATATTATATACATATAAAAAGGAAAGTAATTTATTAATTATTTTTATGGTAATTTGGGTAGTAATATTTAATCTGATGTATATGTTTTATATTTACATAATAAAAATATACATAGATTTGATGCGTGTTATATTTTAAGTTACTTTATAATATTATGGTAACTTAAATATTATTGGATAATCCATTAATAAATAATGGAATGTGTATAATTTATTTATTTAATAAACATATACATAAATTATATACGTGACATATTTTACTTAGCTTTTTAATATATATATAAAAGAGAAAGTAATTTATTAATTACTTTTATGGTAATTTTGGTAGTAATATTTAATCTGATGTATATGTTTATTTAAATAATAAAAATATACAAAGATTTGATACGTGTTATGTTTTAAGTTACTTTATAATATTATGGTAACTTAATTATTATTGGATAATCCATTAATAAATAATGGAATGTGTATAATTTATTTATTTAATAAACATATACATAAATTATATACGTAACATATTTTGCTTACCTTTTTAATATTTTTATTTTCATTTTTTTTTTTAGTTGACTTGGATTGGGAAAATGGTTAGGGTTATTTTATTTAGCCTATAAATATATAACTATATGTTGTAAAAGGGGGTTAGAAATATTCACGTGATATATACTAGAGAAATAGTGTTAGAGAGGGAAGGAGGAAAAAGAAGGAATGAGGAGAAAAAATCCTGTAGAGAGAAGATCAAGGAAGAAGAAATTTAACTTTCGATCCGAAAGTTTAAGGCAAGTTCTTCTTCTATCTCTTTCCCTTTGATTCTTGTTTCTGTACATGCCTAGGAAATTTCAGAATTTATTAAACACATAAAATTAAATAATTATGCACGTTTAATTGGGTTAGAACATAGGTTTTATGAAATTGGTTCATATCTGTTCTTGTGTTATCAATTGATAAAATGCATGATTTTGATTTGATTTCTTATGTGAATTTTTACATGTTTAAATTATGTATTTTTCATATCTGTGGAATGATGGAACGTAGAAACATGCGTAAGATTCATGAACATTAAATAGGGATTAGGTTTGGGTTTTAATAAATTTAAATAGACTCAATCATAATGATGCTTGTTATTTGAATGTTTTAAACAAACGAATGGATTTAATCTTTTAAAATATTTTAGCAATTGAGATTAAATGTGTAGGATGAATTGGATTTGGAGAATCCTTATTTAACGGTATAATAAAATATCATCATGTATAAGATTCAGTTTGTGTAGGACATATGATATAGGAAGTTTAAAGAAATAATAAGTCATTCCTATTATGTGATAACTTGATATCATATTTATCATAGTTATTTATGGAATGTTTGATGTATTTCCTTAATTGTTAAATCAATTGTTGGATTGTGTGGTTTAATGCACCAGTATGGGACGGTAGCATTTTAGGGATGGATTAACTTATCAGTTAAGTTCTACCTATTTTATATAAGGGAATGGATTAACAAAAATGTTAAGTCCTACTTATATTTAAGTCAGGTCAGCTGAACAAGTTGAATGACTTATGGAGGATTAATTTATTATATAAGGGAATGGATTAACTAAAATGTTAAGTCCTGCTTATATTCAAGTCAGGTCAGCTGAACAAGTTGAATGACTTATGGAGGATTTCCTTTAGTGTGTGTATATATATATACGGATTACTAGTTATTGTTGGATTGACTAGGATGTATACATGTCTCGGATCTCTGCTTGGACTGTAGTAGAGTAGAACTTGTTTGTGGGTCTGACCCACCATTATTTTTCAGGTGTTCGTCACGAGTAGAGGTTGTTCGTGCTGAGCGGGGATCAATCTACTTCATTCTTCCGATGCTACATAGGAGTTCCTTTATGATTCAGTTTCCTGTTTTAGATTACTGTCATTTGTTTAGTTTGGATTTTCTAGGGGTCCACACAGTATGGATTCCCGAGTTGTATTTTGGAGGATCAGTTGTATCAGAAGAGTTTATTAATTAATGAAAATATATTATGAGGTTTATTATTAGATTATCATTTTAGTTTATTGTCAGCATTTTATTTATTCTTCTTTATTCTTTTGTACTCTGTGTTCGTTTATTATCAATTTGTTTTGATATCCTCGAGTATTCGAGCGTGGGCCTGGCCAACCCGCATTCGGAAATCCGAAGGTATCACACGCACCAAATCCAATCAACCCCCAGCTGTTCCAATCACCGTTAACTTAAGACCCAAGTCCTCTTCTACAATCTTTGGTTTATCTTACGATTGTAAAATCCGTCAATGGAAAGAGACGTTGTCAATCAACCCCAACATCATCGTCAATGGAGAGACCCGCCACGCACCAAATTCGATCAACCCCGATATACAACCTATTTAAATTGGAACCCATTTTGATATTTTGATAGTGTAACCTTACAATTTCCTCTCAATTTCTTCAATTGCTTGTCGGTGCCAGAGTTGTAGGTTGCGCTCCAATCTCAAACACTCCATCGTCGATTCTTTCACCGTCGGCGGAGACCTCCAGCTAAATTAGTAAAAAGCCCTTTGCACCATAAAGTCTCTGTTCCTAATCTCGGACCACATCAATGCCACACCCTCCAAGAGTTGTCATCTTGCAATGAGTGATTTAGAATTTGCAGTGGGTGAGTTAGAGTGATTTCTGGCACAAGTGCTGTTGGTGTTTAGCCCTAAAACTGGATAACAGAAGCAAGATGGTGATATTGTGATAAGGTTTAATGCGCTATCTGATTTTCATTGGGTATTAGGATTGTGGACGACACGTCAGCAACTGAAGGTAAAGAAACAATAAAATGGTCTCCTTCTGTGAAGGATAAATTGGTAATTTCTTGTGTACTTAACGGAAACTTCACATTTTGTCCTTAAATGCACTTTTTTCATAGTTCAGGGGGCAATTGTTAATACAGGGGGGTTTTGTGCAATCAGCTCATAGATGAGGGGGGTTTTTGCACTTTACCCTTATTTATATTCTCACTTTGAATAACTAAACAAATAATTTTATTTAACAATTCATATCTTCGTAGAAGAAGTGTGTATACTACGACAATAAAAAAATATATATCTTATTTAATTTATGGTCGAGGATATCACTGAGTTGCTATCTATATATTCATTCAGCAGTGTTGCAACATTTTTAAAACATAAAACTAGTTAAGTACAATTGTTGATGTGTTTTATGAAAATATTATCAATCTATAATCAAGTTTAATATTATGTTAGTTGATTTTTTTTTTTACCTACTTATTGTTTAAAGTCGACCTAACTGAAACAAAATTTTCTTGATCTGTCGTGGTGGTGGTGGTGGTTGTAGGGGGTGGGGATGATGGTGGTGCTCTCCCCTCTCTCATCCTCAAATCAGTATTTTTGAGTGTTTTTTTTTTATTTTAATTTTATCTTAAGAGCTTTTTAATGTATTACAGTTTTTAAATTGACAAAATGTATTTATTTGCTTAATTTAAAAAATGTAGGAAATTTTTTAATATTAGAAACTATATGCACATTTGGTATATAAGAGGGCTTTTCTTTTTCTTTTTCTTTTTTTTAACCTTATCCCAATTAAAATCAGGAATTTTTATTGTCTAAAAATGGTTGGGGACAAAGCTTAACCTCCCCATTAAATTAGTGTGGTTGTGTTGCTGGTTTTTAGCCCTCATCGGGTGACAATTTCTTCTTGCTATAACCTCTAACATGGTTTATGTTGTTAAAGCCCTGAAAACCAAGTGAAATTCACTTGAGACTATAATTATTTTGAAATAGATGAAATCAACAACCTCAAAAATTCCAACTTGCCAGTAAACAATTGCACGTTTTGGTTATTATTATAATTATTATTTCGTCAAAAAAAGAACTCCTGAACTTTCATAATGTTGCAAATTAACAGCTTCCAAGCCAACAGAGTGTACAGAGAAGATCAAAAGTGTGTACATATATATATATATATATATATATATATATATATATCTCATACAGTTCATACTACAAATTTTCAAACAATCCACATCAACAATTGCATGATTATTTTCCAGCAATACCAAAGGGTCTTTGGTGGTATAACCCTCCCTATCCTCAAAGAGGAGGGGAGGGTTCGAGTCGGGCGTGGACAAAAAAAGATGTATGTGTTTGCTTTATCATTCCAAAAAAAAAAATATGATCTTTTTCCAGCTGTTTTCCGGAACCAAACCACGCAATACGAGGACATTTTGATGTAATGCATGTCATAAATCCATTTCTGCCACCTTAAAATGAAAGCCAGTATCCTCAGCAGAACTTATAGAAAATTATTGCTTGAAAAATATTATGTTTTCAAAGAAAGTCACATATATCTAATCCACTCCCTTTTTTTTTCTCCTTCCTTTTTGGTAGGTTATCAAAGCTAATGGTACTTATTAAAGGAAATAAAATATCATTTGTTTCTTCTAAATATTTCTGAATCCACAAAACTGAGATTATTCTAATATCAGACAAGCCCTTGAAACTCAAACCTTTCACTACATCAGTGCAGATTTAGGGGTGAGGCCATCCTATAACCTGGGGGCAAGGCGAAGAGAGTCCCATGGAGTCAGAATGTGGTTACGAGTAATCTCCTGGAGCGAGCGACAACCGCTTAAAGCCATAGTTAGCTCAAACTCATCACGAAGCATTTGAAGTACTTTTCTTACACCAGCTTCACCATCAGCAGCCAATGAAAACAACACCGGCCTTCCAATCTGAAATTTTATGGGATCAAATAAGTGAAATTGCTAAAAAGTATGAGGTCATTGGGATTTATGAGCAACTTTGAGTTAAAATGGCTTGTGAATGAAGTTTTATGGAAAACATTTATATGATCTACTTTTATGCAGGTTATAGATCATGCCTCAAATTTTTACTTCGATCTCAAGCAATTGAATTCCAGCAAAGATTTCAAAAGCATGTCCGCACAACTTTCACTAATTTCCTAGTGAGATAAAAATCTGAAAATTAGGGAATTATAAATCCGCAAGTCATTCTTTCGGATTGTCCATCATGCAGTGTGAAATTCTGTCACTTACAAATATGCCAGAAGCTCCAAGAGCCAATGCTTTGAAGACATCTGTCCCACGCCGAACTCCACCATCCAGAAAAACTGGGATTCTGCCTTGCACAGCTTTGACGACCTGTAAGTGAATAGAAAATATCAATCTGATGCAAGACAGTTCTAGAATATTAAAGATTCACTAAGCAAAAAGAGGACGTAGAGATTAAAGGAGTAATTAGTGAGGAGAGAAGCTTGAGAAATCAAGAATTTGCTGAGAAAATATTGAGGAATTCCATCGAGGGGTAAGAACAACATCTCGAGAGAAATGCAGGAATAATTTGGAAGGGGGAAAAAAAGAAGATAAGGGAACAAAGTGAGCAGAGAAGCAAAACACATTAACATAAGGGAAGCAGACAGTCATCAAGATTCATAGGTAGATATATAGTCGAAAAGGAAAGCTAACTGAATAATAACTGCAAAGTAAATCACAACTTAAACATGATAGCACTTGTTTACATATGGCTAAAGAAAAATACGATGTATAATTTTAGAAAAGTATCACAAATTTTGGAGAATTTCATTGGAGACTAGGGTAATGGCAAAGCAATCATAACAAGCACATATACCTCTTCCAAAGCCATGATAGTTGCAGGGACATAATCAAGTTGGCGAGCTCCATGATTTGACACTATGATTCCTGCTGCTCCAACCTGCACTGCCATCCTCGCTGCAAGATTTGCCGAATTATTGGATTACATAATGAGATCGTAAGGAATCAGGAAGATCCAAAGAAGGGTGATAGTGTTAGCCTTTAATAGTATACTGCTTACCATCCTCTGCAGTTAGAACACCCTTCACTAGAATGGGTAATTGAGTGATTGTCTGAAGCCACTTCACATCCTGTCCAAAGTTCACAGGAGAAGTTATTCAAAAGATAACCTCACCTACATTTCAAGAAATCTTTATACAGAAATTACCATCCTACCATCCAGTTAAGAGACTGGTCAACTTGGCCAGCAACATATGAAGCCAATCCAGAGTCATCGGTCTGTAGGGACATGAGCACAAACTTATCATGAAAACAGAAATAAAATGGGAAACCATTATTCCAGAATAAGTCAATCGTTTATATCATTCACCCGATCCATCTTGCCGAGGTCCAATCCTTCAAAATTCTTTAACGACAAATGTGGTGGCAAAATAAATCTGCAAGACGACCCATCAAAAGAACCTCCTTAGGACCTAGCAAACTATTTCTAGTTCAAAGCAAACTTGGGATTGTGTTTATACATTATTGGAGTAGAGAAATAACTTATCTAAGTTTCAAGTTCCTGTTTTAAAGAATAATAAAAAATAAATAAAAAAGTTCCTGTTTTGAAACAAAGTTAGTTTTTGGTTGCAGTTCACCTGTTCTTGATATCAGCTTCCCTCCGGCCGAGTCTTGGAGTATCCACAGTAAGGGCAATTGCCTTAAACCCTGCCCTTTCAGCTCTTTTCACGAGTTGTCGAACCACATTTCTGTCTTTGTACACCTAAATTTGAGTAAATGGATCGTTGGATTTGTAAGTGGTACAAAATGAAAATATATAGGGGTATATAATTGTCACTATTGTTTGTGATTAAATATCTATATATAATCACAACCTGTTTGTCAGTATTGTTCATCTTTTTTTCTTCTTTTTTTTTTTTTTTTTTTGGACTAAGCTTCTGATAAATATATACATAATTACTTTCATTATATTATCAGGAGCAAGATAAACAGTAGTGACAAACAAGTGAAAATAAAAGATTGAACTTCAAACTCACATAGAGCTGGAAAAAGCGAATGCCAGGTCCTGTTGAATCAACCTCTTCGACACTGGAAGTAGCCCATGATGACAGTGTCTGAAACAACCAATCATGCATAAAAGAATGGCAGATACACATATAATTTTAATTAATATATTTAAATTCCAACAGTGCCGAAGAGGCCACTATTGGTTAGCACATGAAAGCCAAATTATTGTTAAAATTGTAAGATCAGAACAAGTTCAAATTAAAAATAAAAAAATAAAGAGGGAAAGAAAACAAACCATGATTGTGCCAGCAGCCGATGCTGCTCTTGCTGTTGCATATTCTCCTGCATCAAAATTAAACATTTGGATACAAATCTAAATCAAACTTTCCTATTCATGGCAGAAATAAATTTAAGGATAAATTACTAAGGGAAATCCCAATCAACCTCACTACATCAAGACCCTAGGTAGGAGGACATGTATAAAAATTGAAAAGACAACTTTGGCAAAGAATTTCTTGTTAAGTAAAAAGCCACTACCTGGTATAGATCCTTCTCATTAATCAAGTCTGCTGGGAGAGGTAGATCGGGTACAGACCAAATCTTAAGCATTATTTGCACAAAATGGCTGCCCCCATACTTGAACATGCTTTCTTACCTTGGCTGCCCGACTGTTGTTTTGTTCAAATAATTTCTAGTAATTTAAGGACCGAAGTGAATCCTTGAAAATGAAGGTTGAGGACCTTCAAATGCCTCCTGGAGTTGATTCTAACAACCATCTTGGTTCACTTATATCCTACAATATCTATTCTGTTCTCCAAAATATTTCCAATTTTTTTATAAGCGTGCTACGTATTGCAACTGATTACTGCTACCAGTACAGCTTAGGAATTAATTTAGTTCCAGAGATTGTTGAAAACTTGAGATTGGTAGCAAGAACAGCTAAAGGAATGGCATTGCATAAGATAAAGGACGTTGTTCCAGGGATGCTCCCCTGAAGAAGAATAGTGGAGTGATCTAGTGCTCAGAATTTCATTCCAGATGCAACCTTAAACCATCATGCATAGGGGTCTATACATTATATATATTGGGGATAAATGTTCATTTATGCATGTAAAGAAATATGTATGTATACTTGCCTATATACACTGGCATACATTTATATAAATGCATACGTATAGTATATGCACCAACATACGTGTGTATACATTCTGATGAGTCAATCAGTTTGTTAAATAAATGATCGTTTTAAATTCTGTAAAGATAAACAGCAAAAAGGGGGCTTTGTGGATGTCATTCAGGGGGCACCACATCATCACAATGTTTCAAGAAATCAGATCTCAAACTCAAAAGGAATTTTTAAAATCAAAACTGTTGCAATGTTCCTATACCAACATCAACGATGATTCAAAATCAAAAGCTTCTTTTAATTTTAAAAGTTCCTTTTTTTTCCTTTACTTTTTTCTTTTTAAATTTTAAAAGTTCCTTTTAATATTTTCAAGTTATGAAAATGCCCGACATGTTTGGCCTACACCCCAGGAATCTGTCACTCTGCAAACCTTGCTATATAGAGTTTAAACCCAAAAAGGACAAGATCAAGGAAACAGGGAATGTACCTTCAGGGTGAGCCATTTTCTGCATTGCTGTAGGAGCAATCATGATGGGCATTGAAATCTTGAAGCCCAAAACCGTCGTGGTCAAGTCTATCTTGCTCACATCAATAAGAATACGAGGTCGGAACCTAATTGAAAATAAAAATAATTAAAAAAGATACACAGTTCCAGATAAAAAGACCAATGTCAAACCAGAAATTAAAGTTTAAAAATTGAATATAGAACAGAAGATAGCATCAAAATTCCTCAAATAATTTATTCCTCATTTTATAATTAGTAAATCAATAACATAAATCACCAAAATAAAAAATAAATAGACTAACTACTCCATTGGGGGATCATAATTATCAAGAGAAGTGCTTACAAAATCCTTGAAAATGCGTTTCGGTTCTCTTGGAGAGTCCACTGGTCCTCTGCTCCTGATGCATAATAGTCATACACCATCTTTGGCAATTTCTCCTTTGCAATAGCCTCGTACTCCATAACGTTGGTTATCTCCATCTTCCAATGGAATATTTATGTAATACCAAGATAATTCTGAAATAAATTATAGAAATGATGAAATTGGAACTCAAGTTTACGTCAAATTATTCTGTAAGTCAGATAATTGACACACAATACAAAATGGTCAAGACAATCCAAAGCATATACAAAGAGAATGAAAACTAAAGTGCATCAAAAAGAAGAAAAATAAAAAAGCACCCACAAACAAGAATGCGGTGACAAAAGAACCTATAACAATGACACCATAGCATCCTGAGAAAAGAGTGTGGAAAGAAACTGAATGGTGCCCAGGGCCCAGTCCTAGAATTTGGATCATTTGGGACCAAAAGCATTTTAAGAACCCAGAGTTTTACCTGTAGTGTTATAAATGGTTCAGAAAGTTCTTGGAGTCTACTTTCCAACACAAAAAAGCAGTTTGCCATCAGGGTTTCCAAGAGAAATACATTGAGAATTTACTGAGATAGTATAAGGGTGTCTAAAAGATCCTATGCCCAATAAAGTTGAATATGTTCAGCCTGAATTCATACTGATTCCTACCAAATTTTTACCATTTATACTCGTAATTATTGTTTGCAAAATTTTAATTTTTTTCTTTTTCAAGCCCCATGGCCTACCTTAAGTATGCTAGGCTGTGTGATCGAATTATTAGAAGTCTTCTCTTCGTCGCTTGAAGCTAGTGTGGTCTATTTACAATTTAGTATCTAACATTGGAAATCCACCTATGGCATGAGGGATGATCTGTGCCAATGCTAATTCAACCCCTAGCCATATAAAAGGAAGCAACCTCTGAAGATTTAAATCGAATTTCCGTATTGTGGCTTTTGAGAAAGAATTATTCGTATTGTGAGCTGATTATACCCATGTCATTGCTATTATCAGTACTCCAACAATGAAAATCATTTCTTGTTATTGGTTGCAGAGATTGTGCATCCTAATGTGGGTGTGGATGTAAATATATATATTGGTAAGTAAAGACGATATAAACATTACAATTCAAGACCAAATAGTTCTCAAAATGTGTCCTAATGTATATCAGTATCTGCAATTTCTTCAAATAGAAGACAACTTGATAACACTGATGTAAGTATTGATGTAAGTATTGAGTCTATGAGATGGTGATCAACTAACAGTTCATGGCATTAGAAATCACATTAGCTTCAAAATAAACTTACAGATTAAGTTCTACTTTGACAAAACTCAAATTAATCTGCATGCAATCGAATTTCACAAAAATCAAACAAAAGAAGAAAAGCGATGAGATTTCAAAATTACCAAAACCCATAAACCCACCTCCAAATTCTGATCAAATCCCAATTGAAACAACAACACAAACAAGCAGCCTTCAATGACATGATATGAAAACCAATAAAAGAAAACACTAGCTGAAACAAGTAACCAATTTGAACTCATCCCATAGAAGAATCGATGAACACCACCAGGTCAAACACTCACTTGCAATCGGACCCAGATGACAAAACGATATTAACAAAACATCAAACAATGAAAAATCAAGTTCAGGAAAAAAAAAAACTATTGAATTAAAAATAAAAGGGTATAAAAGAACAGACCTTGTCTTCTACTATACAAATAATTGAAGGGAACTATGAAAGAAAGATCATATAATTAGAGAGAGAAAGAGAGATGCACTATGAAAGTTCAAGGTGATGCATACAGACAGAGTGGCACAATTAAAAAATAAGAGAGAGAAAATTACAGAATTTAGAGTGAGGACAAAAGGGTGAGAATCAAACTCGAGAGAGAGAGAGAGAGTCAGTTGCGTGGATTAGATTTTCAAAATGGTAAATTTAGACCCGCATCTGTTCATGGAAATTCACATACGTATTTGGATTTTCATGCACTGGGAGTTTGGGGTGACAAAGAGAGAATGATTTGATTGACCGGCACTTTCGTAGTCCCCAAACAAACTGGAAAATATTGGAGAAACCCGTGCTAGTTTGATATTTCAACATCCGCAAAGCAAAAAAGAATCACCTTTTATAAGTAAAAAATGATTGGGACTGTTTGGTGTTGGTGTTAGAATATAAAAACAGAAAAAATATTTTTTAAAGGTGTTGGTGTTAGAATATAAAAACAGAAAAAATATTTTTTTAGTAGAGTTTTCACAAAATTATTTGTTAGTAAAAAATTAAAGTAAATTTTTTAAAGGATTTAAATTACCAATTTTACAAATGTTTTTTCATAGCATATTACTATGTTGGATAATAATAAATAAAAGAAACGATACAATTGTTTTCATACAAAAAAAAATTATCTGAAAAAAAAACAGTTACTATACAATCTATACTAGTCCTTTATAAAAATTAAAATTTCCAACTTCATTCGAAATTTTATTAAGCTAAAATTGTTAATTATTAAAAGTAATTTTAGTGATTATTAAACGCATTTTTTTAAAAAAATAAAAATAAAAGTTCACTTTTATTATTTGTTAATTGACTGAAAAACAAGAGCATTGTATATTATTTGTTAATTGAGTCGTATGTATTTTATATACAAATATATGCAAATATGCGTGACACTTCTTACTCCAATACATTATTGATTATTATTTCTATTTTACCATGTTCAATTCCATATATTTCTATAAAACAAAATCTTAATCACTCGTGCTACAAACACATGGCCCTCCTACTTCATAGATTTGACATTTATGTACAATCACACAAACCTTTAATCTCAGAACCAAGTTGAAATAAAATTAAGGAACAAAATATATATATATATATATTTTTTATCATTTAACGAAAAGCAAAAACAAAAAACAATAATAGATGGGTTGGATGGTTAAAATAATAAAATAAGTGGTGAAGTTCACGCTGACAGAGGTGGGGCCCAGCTCGTATAATTCAATGACGATAGAGACGAGTTCCTACGAATTTTCTCACACGGTGGGGGATTGATTGCCATGCGTGCTTTATTAATTAAAGGCGGCTCAGTTGTGTCAGTGTCTTTGTCCATTGCATAATTGCAAGGTTTTTTTTTTAATATAAAATGAGTCTATAATTTGCATTATTTTTAATTTTTTATTGGGGAGGTGTGCAAAAATATAATGTAATATGTATGTAAAATATAAGGAAAAGCCTATACTTCACGAATTTATATTTGTTATATCGAATTAGGCGACAGTTTACTTATTAGCTTATTTGATTGTTTTTGTATACTGTAAAGTAAATTTTTAATGTAAGGAATATCTTAATATAGGAAAGAGAAAAAAATAGACAAACTTATCATTATAGAATTTAAATTCTAAAATAATTCTATAATTTGAATTCAACTAGTCTGGGAGACTATTTTTTTATTAAATCTTCAAATAATTAAACTAAAAGTTATAATTTTTTTACTATGAATGAGTAATCTCTTTCTCGTAAATAAAGACTATAATTTACATTATTCACTTTAAGTTTTTTTAAATAATATTTTTATTTGATATTTTCTGATTACGATTACATTTAAAAAATACTCAACAAAGATATACATAAGTTTTTTTCCCAGTAAATAAAGATAGAGTCGTGATACTCAGTCAGAAAGATTATACCGATTTGTTTGGCATAATTTACTTGACACAAAAAGACAAATTAATATGACAATCAAATGGTCCCACTACAATGTCCATTAAAACAACATTAATTTTCAAAAACAAAATTACCCTTATATTGCTTTCTTGTATTCATCCTTCCTTTTTTAGGGCCACTTAACAAAATGAAATTCTCGTTTCAAAAACAACTATAATTAAAAATCTCTTAAATTCTCTTTATAAATTTTCTCAGAAGACTATCTCTCTCTAGATAAATATATAATAATACATAAATTTCTAAAAAGAAATCATCATATAATATAATATATATAAATTAAGAAACATACTGCAATTCAATCCCCATAATTTTGTTTTCCTTTGTATATATATATATCGTTTTATATATATATATAAAGATGTATTGGAATATGCAAAATTTCGCAAAACATAAAATAAATAAATAACAAGTTTTTTAAATTTTAATCATTAACTCCAAAAAAAAAAAAAAATGTGGTTCATGTCGGTATGCATAACACTCTTCTGCCCTAAACTAACAACAGATTGAATGGACTCATCGATGACAGATCTAGAAAACCAAGTTCATCAACTTGAATAGGAGAGAGAAAGTGGATGTCACCATGGAAAAGGAACAAGTGGTCTCTCAAGGCGACAGCAACGATTGTGAAACCGGAGATAATGAGAAAAAAACCCTCTTCATCAAGTACTGTAAAGTGATACATTTGTATATCGTGGTTATAATCGAGAATAAATGAAGAAAAGGGTTAGAGAAGGCAATAAAAAATGGCTTGACTATATGATTGAGATGGATGATCAAAGATATTATTGGTAATTGAAATTTTTTTTATTTGGGATTGGATAGTTTTGTCTTTAAAATTTTATCTTTCTAAAAGTAGTACAAGTATAGTGACACATCACCATCAACTTGAGTTTTGGATCTGAGTATTCGGTGTAAGTATCATTTTCATAAAAAATATTAATTGATAAAAGCAAATTATAAATAGAGAAAAAAACTGGTGTAATTGCTCATTCTTACCTTTTTTTCTTTAATTGTCAATTTGTCTAGTTTATTAAAATAGAAAACACAATTGTATAAAATAATAAAATGAAATATGTATTAAAATAAAAAATATTTATATCTTTTTAATTATCGCCACGTCAAATTCCTAATACAAGATTCAAGATTTGTAGCACTGCTCAAAGTATAAAACAAATTCTATATTTTTTAAAATCTAATGATCAATCAAAGTTTATAAATAGATAATTCACCTCCTCGTATGATTTTATATTATTTGCCTTTTTTTGTCATCTAGATGCGTTAAGAATCACTCTATTAGAATATGACGCGACTATCCTTCACACTTTCTATTTTTTATGAAATATAGAAAACTTAATTTTAAGGGTAAAAAAGGTTTGTACAAATTATAAACTAATACAGTAGAATTTTTCATCTTTAATACTTTAATCTTCTCTAAAAATAGGAAATGTCTTTTATATCCTTATCTAATTTAATAATAGTTTAAAAAAAAATTTATGTCAAACCAAAAGATTCTAATACCCTTTTTTTTCTTCTATCTTGTAAACATTATATTACCCTACCTTCTTCATTCTTTTTATTTTTTTTGGAAAAAAAAAAAAAGAAACTATTATTACCCTAAAGACACTTAATCAAATATCATTAACAAAAAAAAAAAAATGTTTTTGTAAAATTTAATAATATAAAATTGGTATAAATTTTGATACTTTGCATTTCAACGATATTCAGGTCTTTTTGTCATTTCATATCATTTAATACTAGAAAATAACAACTTAGTCATTTATTGAATTTTTATTTATGGCAGGGAGTGTGGTTGGGTACATACGCCAAATTTTATGGGAAGTCAAAATAATAAAAGCCAAATATTCTACCCATGTGTAATTTTCTAAATATCATGGGAGGTCAGTGTAATTTATTATAATTTTAATAACGAAATTATTTTTTTAAAACTTTATCTATTTTGTTGATTTTTCTTATGTCCCCTTTTCCATCCATATACACTTTGTTGAGGCAAATACAGGGGGAGGACTAAAGAAGGAAAAATGATTTGTGAGATATAACAAAGTTGGAATATGCAGTTAGTAATATTGAATTTTTTTCCTTAAATAATCCCTGAAACTCTTTATAATTTGACTAAAGATGGTAATACTCGAAGAGACCGGCGTTGTATATAATTTTTGAACCAAATACCCTATTTATGGAGTATGAATATGTACAAGTGTATAACTCTTTATGAATAGTTGTGTCTGCTCAAAATGCTTGAAATGACATGACTTTCAGTAACACGTATTTCAACCGTATGGTACAACTTTTCACTCCTTACATTACAATATATATAACACATGCTTGTATATATTAAGAATCCATCCATGGTGAGGTTGTTATAATCAATATGGAGTATATATATAAATTGAGAGACAAAAAAAAAAAAAAAAAAAATTGAAGGTTATACACGCGCGCATGTAGATGCAGCGAGGAGACAGAAGAAATGCCAATCGAGGTAGTAAGATTTAAATCCAAAGCATTGTGGCCCAATGTCATTCCATCTACCTTCTAAAATATATGGTAGAGAATTTGAGTCCCTAAAAGAATAAAGTGGGTGTATAAATGGTAGTGCGTATGTTTCTTACCAAAGAAAAAATAAAAATAAAAAATAGTACTGTAAGATTTAAGAATGATACTAAAAGGGTAATTTTATCTTAAAAACTAAAATTTTAAGGTCCCCCACACAAAAATAGAAGACTATATTAACTCTTGTTGTTTGATTAGTTTCCAACAATCACAATATCATATCCAGATAGAGTGAGGGTTAGGTTTAATTCAATTACACCTCCTGTAGTTTATTCAATCTTCAAGTATTTCGACGGGAATAGTTGCTGAACCATATCACATAGTTCCGGCAACAACAAAAGTTGCAAAAAAAATAGCAGCGATACTACTGGAAATGATGGTTTCAATATTGCCCATATGCAATCATTTGTATAGACGTTGAGGCAGGTGGATGCTAAGATGGAATAAACCCACTAATATGCCAATTTTCCCCACTGCAATATGATGAGAGGCAATATTTTAAAGCGCCATGAACCTATCAGAACTCTATAGTTAAGTGATTCGACAATATTATATCTAGATAGAGTGAGGATTGTTGCAGTATAATAAGGTCCCTAAAATATAAATTGGTGAGTTCTACAAAGAGATCATACTTGAAAATCAAGAAAGTTAAAATAAAAAATTATATAGAATAATTATTAGGACAACTATGATCAATAAATGAAAGTGTTGAACTTTAAAGAGAAACAAGAACAACTTATTCATGGAGCAAAAATAAGAATCCTAAGATGG